GTGTCAAAACAAAATTTGTTATTCTTACTAGAGAATGGAACTGGATTGCTCCAGCTGAGCCAGAAAGTACTAATAGCAACCACCAGCTTCAGTGAGGCTTGTAACTCACTTTGGATCCCAAACCATACCTGTTCTCCTCCTCAGTCTTGCCAGAATTTTACAGGATAACTTACAAACATCACCCTGTCTGATCAATTCTCCGTGGTACATTTCATTGAAAATCTACTAATATTTGTTAGACATACCACTACCAGTGCTATTAGTAAAGAAAGATGTGTACTGGCTTCTTTTAAGAGTAGGAGGGAGCATTTTTTGCATGTCCGCTAACTTCACACTTTTCTTGATGAGGAGAAGATATGAGTCCTGGCATTTGTCCCAACAGCTCACATATTAAAAAGCTGCAGGATGAAATGCATGAATATTCTTTGAAGAAGGGACTGAAGCTGAGGTCTTTCTCCTTTGATCAATTCTTCTAATCTTAAGACCTCACTAGCAAAGCCATACCAACGATGTTTTCCAAGCTGTACTTCAATTAGTTTTAAAAACCAGAGCAGTTTCACTAGCGGATATTGGTTGTCCCTACTGCAGAAATCCACATACTGTGATAGATGAAGTGCTTTGGAGAAGATTTGCCAGGAAGCCAGAGAAGAATTTCATTCTTGCTGCTAAGCTACTATAAAATCTGAGTGTTATTGCAGTCTTATTTTGTTGCTGTGTTCAGGAGACCCATTTCTGCCCAAAAGATCTGGCGGTATTTAAGTCTGGAAGCAAGATAATGGCTTCACACTTCATGCTCAGAGGCACTGTCATGTACCTTAGATTTAGGTACCTCAATAATGTAGAAATAACCCTTTTATGGCCTGAAATTGCAGTCTCTAAGCGTGAAAATCTAACTTCACCCAGATCTTGTATTCCTATGTGATACTGCCTTGAACTCCCCTGTACAGAGTATAAATATATCCTAGTTAAATGCTGTAGTATTCAGGATGATAGCATTTCAGTCTGATGATAGCACTTTGTTTTAACCTGAATTCCATCTGTAAGACAACCCAAGGAGCACATGATTCTTATAGCATGAGTTGAACAAGTAGTTGAAGGCTAAATGTTCTTTGAAAGAATGTTGGTTCTCCAGCAGTGGTAATTCTGTATCTGCAGGTACAGAATTGTCCAAGGCTGAGGTTTGGGGGCACTGAAGAATTTATGATTATGGCTGAATCCTGCAAGATATAAAGATGCTGAAGCAAGCAGAGCAATTCTTTCCTGATTTATTCTGAGGATAAGGTTAAGGCTAGTCATTAAATCCTGCAAGATAGATAGGAAAACGATGAGAAATAGTACTGTGATTTCATGGGATAAAACTTTCTGTTCTGAGGTCAGACTTTGTCTAAGAGAGGACAAAATGGAATAAGGTAGAGTAAGGGTTACGCTGGAGAACCTACCAGATCCTCCAGAGCAAAGGTACAACCCAAATCTGAAAACCATGTTTACTGCTGGGTTTTCTATAAAGAGTTCAGTTATGGATGGAAGTAGGAGGTAATGAAGCTTTAGGTTGATTGACAGGTCATGCAAAATCCCCATCCGTAAGATAAGGATTGCCAAAATATTGGCAAGAGTTTTTCTGTTTTGTTGCAGACTGGATCAGCATATAGATTTAGTTGTGGTGTAGGGTGGACATTCACAACAGTAGAGACCAGAAAGGTTGATCTTCTGGTGGAATCTGAAAAACGCCCACGTGCTGCAATGAGGCAGTAGGTTATAGAATAAGTAAATAATGGTCCTATTGGTGAGTCTATGAATATATGCATCCATTACAACTGTGGCCTAAATGAACCCACTCCTAACAAATTGTGATGCACATCACTGTACTTCTGCAGTCTGCATTTTGTTTCAGAAGATGCAACAACTGTTTTGCCCTTCACTGCTTGTTACTCAAATTCTAGCTGTTAACCCATCATCCATCTTAGCCTAGTATGCTGTATTTTCTCCAGAAATATCCATGCAAAGTTGCCCAGCTGGTATCAGCCCCCATCTTTGTTGTCTTTGTTCACCTAATAATAAACTGAATCTTTATCATCTTTCTAGTAATCCCAAGTGCAATCTAAATTGACTTGAATGGCAGCTCAGAAACAGCAATAAGTTATGTGGCTATCCAGATTGTCATGTTCATTTGAGCTGTTCTTAGGATGAGAAACACCCTAAAGATAAACCCTGTGTTTCTTCAGGGTGTCCTATGGAATGAAGGCTAGCTATGAATTAATGCTGCCAGTGCATGCACATGCTGGTACCATTCCTCAGATTAGCTTTCTGTTGCAGGATCCAAATCCCAACATTTCCTACTAAGAACTTTTTGGGAACTAGTCTTAATTCTTTTGATAGCAGACACTGTCCTGCTCTTCAGGCCTTTCAGGAACCAGAACTAATGCAAGATCCTTGATCTGTTATTATTTGTAGTCCTATACCTAGTCCTGGATTTGGCCAACATGCAGTGCACTGTAACAGCCTGCAGGTAATCAGAAGCTATTTGTTTACATAATTTTTCTTCCTGCTGTTGAAGGCCAACTAAAAAGCCAAACTCCCAATCCTGTTTATTTTGGAACCCTTGGGCCCTTGCAAATAAATCTCAGATATAACTCAGAATCTGGGAACGGTGCAATTCCTACTTATAAAGTTCATGCCAAAGCTACTACCATCTAGCATCCCAGGCTGTGGATCTCATAATCAATTTACCAGCAATTCAGTTTACCAGTGTGGGTGCTATTACTGTAAAGGTAGGATAGACTATGTTAGGTTCTGCTGAGAAAAGCCCAGATGCAGGAATCAGAAAAAAACTGACTGAAATCTTCCATCATTTATCTAGTATGGGAATCCATAACGCAATGGCAGTCTTGGGACTTTTTGGGCCCAAATTCACTGCTTATATAGTATAGAATTGGAAGAAAACATTTGGCTTGAAATGGCTATAATTCTAGAAGTTTAACTTTCTTATTTTCTATAACTGATGCTTCTAAAAGAGGAAGCTGCTGCAAAATGGACTGCCCATGTTGAAACTCAAGAGGATGAGAAACATCACAGCTGAAAAGACTATAATAAAAAAGATTCAATAAAGTAGGTAGGTGTGCACCAAATATATTATGAATTTCTTGCAAATGAAGATGGAATAAAAGCTAAAATGTGAAAGTACTGAGTGCCTGATTCATGATAACTCACATAGTTCTAAGAAAATCTGCTTATATCCTACTGATTAAATATTTAAATAAAACCAATATAAAATCTTAATATTACAGAAAAGTGATTCAACCTGTTTATCTATCTAATCAATGAAATTCAGCTTACAGGCAGCTGAGAATTCACTTTTCTTTTTCAGTTTGTAATTTGTTTAATTTAGTTTTTCACTGGTCAACTCATCAACAGCTCATTTCTCAAACAGCGGACTTACCTCTTGTAATGTTTTTCACACATGCTCCAGCTTGACAAACTGGGGGAATCTAGGTCAGACATATTTTATTTGCATTCAAATTAAATGAAAATCCGCAAATGTTTTGCTTTTATTTTTATGCTTTACCTGTAGAGGGTTTGTGCAGATATAAAAAAAAATAAAAATCCACCTACTCCAAGCAAGTCCAGAACTTGCTGTTTGCAAATGTTTTGCTTTTATTTTTGTGCTTTACCTGTAGTGGGTTTGTGCAGATATAAAAAAAAAATAAAAATCCACCTACTCCAAGCATAAGTCCAGAACTTGCTGTTGCATAAAGTCTCATTGTTTTCCATTAAATATGTACAAGACATATTATTTTTCCCTGTAATTGCAAACAAAACAACTTGTTTAAGTAAACCTGCATCAGTCAGGACAGTGTAGATCCCTTTTGTGTCAGGAAGAACAGATAGCCTGTGCAAAGCACATCTGTGGGGTGGGGAGTGTTAACTGCATTTGCAACATCAGAATAAAATACAGTAGCACCATTTGCATTGCTACTGCTGGAAATTGTGTTTATTTTGACTTAGGTATCTAGGTTTCAGAACCATGGTCACCTTTATTTTTACATGCTTGAACTAGTCTGTAGGCCCATCAGATAAAATCTAGTGGAAATATTAATTGGTTCAAAAATGTCTAATTTCACATATAAAGCAATAGGCTCTGAGCTAACCTTTGCTCTGAATGAAGTCTAGGAATTATGTTAGAGGGTTCCAAGACAATGCCAGATTAATGCTCTTATCAATCAAAAGAGGAAATCAAACACTAGGAATTTTTAGTAATGTGTCTCTGACATTGTGTGCATCCATAGTATGCCTGCATCTCTAAATCTGTAAGGCATTTCCCTCTTTCCCCCATCCCAGAAACAATGCAATAGCAAGATTTACAAAGGACATCAGGAAAAACACATGGAAGACCTACCTATTTGAAATTACTAAATAAAACAATGGTAAAATTATGGCCAGCATGTCAACATTATATAATTATGTATCACTTGTGTACAAAACTAAGGACATGGAAATAAACATGTTTCCAAGCATGAAAGGTGACCTTTTGTGCAGTGGGTATCTGAGCTGTTGAGCTAGATGTTACTTTGGGTCTAAAGGTCATTGTGGAGGAATCCTCTATATAAGGATTGGCCAAATGCATTTATTAATGGTTACTACAGGGATATATGTAATCCTTATGCTGAAAGTGCCTGGAGAGTGTAGAAACACTGTTGAGATGTAACATTTTGGTTTGTCTTGTCCTGCTGCTCCTGAGTTCCCTGCTCTTGGTCTCTGCTGGCATTAGGCCTGGGTTTGTGTAGGTACACAGTTTGTGGTAATTGGGAGTGGGGCTGTGGCTGAGCCTCATCCCCAGTGGGTACAGCTGTGAAAAGCAGATGAGCAGCATTGAAGGAATGAGCCATGGAGTGCCCAGAGACACTGAGCAATCACCAAATGGAACAGAGGGCACACAGGTGCAGTGCATGAACATGAGGGGTATAAAAGGCTGGGCTAAAGAATGGGAAGAGCAGCTGCTTGCAGCCTTCTGAGGTTGTGTGGTGTTTTCCTGTATGGGTTGCAGCCTTCTGAAAGTGTATGAGGCTACTCTGTGTATTGTGGCCAACTAAACTGTGACATATGCTGTGACAGGTTTGGTCTGACTGTGTAGTTATGTAGTCATTCTCTGAACCAACTCAAAAAATACCTACTCATATCTATGTATATCTATTTTATGGAGCTGTAGAGTTAATGCTTTTATTAAGTGTGTTTAGAAAATATCACAGAAGTGGTTAGGTGGACCAAATACAGGATGGTTCCTCAGGACTATATAAATGGAATTTTGATTGCTTGCACTTTATGAGGAAAAATCAAGTAAATAGTGAGTGTCTAGTCTATAGAAAACATGCCTTAGCTACCTGAAGTAATTTGAAGGTATCATAAGCTTGTGGCAGATGGTGAGTTAGGGAGAAGAAATGTTCTTATTTATTTTTGTTCACTGGTAGGCTTTTCTGTAGCTCTATCAATTTAGTAACAGTGTGACTCATATGAAAACTAATGAACATAACCTGTCAACAACCTTCTGGGGTGAGTGAGTACCATAATTCGAAATCTGCAGATCTCTGAGGTACATCTTTACCCTCTATTGCCTGGAGATACAGGCATGGATTCACAACTAGAAGCATAGGTTAATTTTTGTGTTCCTAGAGAGAAAAGGCATAGGTCGTGATGTGGGGGTTTTGTGGACCTTCCAGGTGAGGCTGTCTTCCTTCAGCTGCACATATCTGCAAAAAGTGATCCAGTTTTGAGGTGATCTGGACTTTTCCTTTAGGCTAATGACCTAGCACAGGAAATTACAAGACAGAGAGCTATAGTCAGAGAAATTTTGTTATTGTTATTGCAAATATTTTTCATCACCGTCCCCTTCCTGACTTCTACTTGGTCTTACTCTTACAGTCCTTTCTACCAGGAAGCTGATAGTTTGAAACCCTCGTACACAGACTTGGAATTAGCTGCAGTTGGTGGGCTGCAGAGTGGATATGAGATCCTGTGATGGCAGAGCCTTGAGGCGTCAAACCATGACGTTCCATGTAAAGCTGGTTGCAGCTTGGAGGAAGGACCATAGTGACCCCTGTGTCCTGAGACCTGCAAGCCCCAGAACCCCCTAAATGTTCCACTGAAGGAGGAAACAGCAGCCACTAAAGGTACTGTTCCAGCTGCTCTTCTAGCCTCCACCTTTGCTTCCAGCTGCTCACTCCTATTATTTGGGATGGAAGGACCATTGAGTGAGGTCAAGGGCCACAAATGCCTCTGCAGAAGTGCTCCCTCTGCCGTGGGACAGGACATAAGGCAAATGGGCAGCCTGAGGTCTGAACCTTCTTTTGCTGCTGATACACATCAGCCATTGTTAGAAGTCTGATAAACTGAAAACATAGGTGGTGTGTTAATGCCTGCCTCATCCAGAGGGAAAGTTTTGTGACTGAGCTTGCAAATTGTGCCTAAGGACAGAAACTTAGTTCAAAATTGTTTTGGCTTCCTGTGAACTGTGTAGGGAAGGGAAAATGCATGTTAGAAACATTGACAATTCTTGATTACAAAATATAAAAGACTAATACATCTGGCATAAATTGCTTTGGGAAAGCTGAACATCACTATATTTTAAATAAATTGCTACCAACTTCATTTTAAACTAATCTTCTTTGTCTAAAATAGCATAAGGATGACCATATCATATGAAGAAAAACTGCAACCAGAAAGTCAATCTACAGCCTTTGGATGAATAGCAAGACTGTCAAGAATATTGGAATATGTAAGTAGATTCTGATATATGACCTCACCTCTTATTTAATTCTAAAATATAAAAAGGCATGCCAGACAATAACAAATTTGTGACATGCAAGTTTTTTTAAAAAGCAAAAGGAAACATAGAGCTAATTTAAATATAATTATTACTTCATACATTGTAGTGTCCGTATATACAGTGCCCCCAGGACCTGAAGAGAACATGAAAATGGCAAAATGTCTGGTACCACCATGTATTAAATATGTGCAGTTGTGCATTGTCAAGTACCGAAATATTAAGTTATTTTTGTACAAAGTACAAAACTAAACAACTAAATAAAATTTTAGAAGTAAAGTGTTTGGTAAGTTTAGACATGATTGATATGAAGATGTGGACTTCAATGTGATTGCTTTAAAGATTTGCTTTTGTCATGGTGGAAAAAGAAAATAATATATGTTTATACTAAATGTGAATTATCATATAGAGAGTTGTGGTTCACTGAGTGTCCAAAAGCCTTTCTTTTTTCTTTTTTTTGCTGGTACAAAATCATGACTGATGTAAAAAAAAGCACAAAGCATTCATTAAAGGGCCGCTTTTCATTTTACCTTAAAAGAAAAAAGAATGGGAAAGAACAATGTGAACGGAGACAGATGAAGACAGGCAGTGCAAGTAACCCTTGCCCAACAAAATATATTCAAATGTATTGTTAAATTCTGCTGGTTAAAAAGTTGAAGAAAATTTGTTCTTCAAGAATTTACTAGTCAGATTTTTTTAATGTAAGTGCATGCTCATTTGTTACAGAAAAAAGACCTAAATGTTAAAGAAAAATAATTACAGTAATTTTTCCCAATGATTCCTTTAACAATTCTCATGATTTATTATTTCAGAAGTGGGACTACTTTTATGTTGTTGTTCTCTTAAATTTTTTTCCTTGTTTGGGTAAAAAATAAACTATGTTGGTGTTTGGTAGTGCCTGGTCAAGAACTGAACGGGAATAGATTTTTATTTTTCTATTGACCCTTCAGATTTGTCACTTCATTAAGTGCAAGGCATTGCAGAGGAGTTATTCCTTTTCATTATCAATACTGTACTTTTATGTTAAAGGGGCTCTTTATCATTTGCAAGAGGCATGCTCTATGGGTCTGGATGAAAGGGTGTGATTCCCTGACTGCACATATAGACCTTTTTTTAAATTCTAGTGGCAATAAAAATGCAGAAACGAAAAAGGAGGTAATTGAATAGTGCATAATTTGCATTTAATCTGAGAATGAATCTGTATTTGTGATGGACAGAAGGTGTGGCTTTCAGCAGTCTAAAGATACAGTAGGTGTTTTGATGTTGCAGATCAAGCACAATGCTAGACTACTGGAAGGATATCATCTGAGTATCTGATACTTGCAGAGCACATGCTCCACCAAATGCAAATAAATTTACCTGTCATGATCCATTATTTTGATGCTGAAGGTAATCTGTCAGCTTTATCTGCTTTTCTACTCTCCTTCCTCTCTCATTTTTCTTCTTTTGCCACTTCACCTATCTGCCTTCTATTTTCTGACTTTTTTTCCTCTGTATGCCTGGTGTTACACATCACCTTGCACTTAGCATGTGAGAAATGAGTAGGACTTCTGTCCAGTATTAACACTTCTCCTTGCTTTAGCTTGGATAATTGTTGCTATTGGTCACATTGCATTCAGATTCCCTTGCACTAATTGGAGGTTTTGTTAACCATTGGAGCAACTGTTCTCTATGTAATGTTATAAACTAAGTGCCATGTCCTGGTTCCAAAGAAGTTGTCTATTTTATGTGGACTTTAGGACTGAAATAATTTGAAATATTTGCTATAAGATGTACAGTAGGTGGAATAGAAGTGGGATGTTGTATGTTTTTACAGCAGTTATTCCAAGCATAAATCAGTGTTCTAAGGACTAACAAAAGGAACAATGGGAGAAAAATATAGAAGCAGCAGACCAAAGGGGAGAGGACAGAAACAAAAATAACTGGGAAATTATTAATAAGATCTTTTGTCTAAGGAGAAAATGAGAGGAGAAGTAATTTCCTCTGCTTTGTATGTTCAACATCTAGGTGTCTAACTTGATCCTCTGTAAATAAGCTTGATGCTCAGAGAGTTAGACAGTCTCTTAATATCTAATCCTTTTAAAGTGTCTGAATTTGGCTGGCCAAGAAACTCAGAAGAAAATGAGTTATTTGAAAACACTAGAATCTTTATTTTGAGACTGAGAAAAGCAATACTAGTAGTCTGTAGTAATGAACAATACTGGCCATGCATGTAATTTCTCTCCAACTTAACCCATGATGTAACAGGTCCATTAAAAAATGGAGTCACAGGTTTAAAACAGGCTTGGGTTATCGCAACTGCTTCCAGTCAAACCATACAGGTAGAGATAGGCGCTGTAAGGAATTGAGCACAAATACCTTCTTTGTGCTAGAGTAAAGAAATTTTGCTGCCTTAGGCTTATAAAAAGTATTATTTCTGTCTCAGTCATATCCTCTAAGGTCTTCTTCAACACCTATAGTAATGCCAGGTTGTACCAATGCTCCCTATTGCATTTTGTGTGTGGATTTGTTCACTAGGTAAAAAAAGAACATGTACAAAGACTCTGCCAAAATTTGATTATGCGCCTAAAAGCCAAATCTTATAATACAGCCACCAAGAGCAGCTCTCTGCTGACAAGGAACTGGGGGGAAAAAAAGCTAATTTATCCATACCTTTCATTCAGAAAAGTTCTTTCTAATCAGTCACTTTTTCTTCAATCAATTAAAATTTTTTTTAGAGTTTCTCAGAACTGCCTTCTGAAAACTTTGTCCTTCTGTTGAAAATTTAGCCCATGGATTAAAAAGTTACCTGCAAGAGGAAAGCAACAAAAATATCCCATTTAATAAATGAGTAGACTAAAACTAGATTCAGCATCATATTTCAGGGGAAAAATGTGGATTAGTTAGTTCTTAGTTGACGCAGTGTCTTACAAAATCCATAAAATTTTGGGTTTGTAAACACCCGTTAAAAATAAATAATTCAAAAGCACCAGGAGACCTGCATTCATATAAAAAGGCTTCTAAAGACTAAGAAGTGACACTACGTTCTGCTGCTGAAAAGACTCAGCAAATAAATAAAATGAAAATGAATTGTCAAATATCTAGTTTGCTTTTGCTTCCTTAGAATATGAACATACCCAAAGAGAAAATCCATTGATGACCTCAACACAAAACATGGAAAGGCTGTCCGCTTATTTTTCATGTTGATCTTTCATACATTCTTTTCAAGTTTCTTTTATCTATTCTTTTATTGAGAAGATGACATAGAGTATTGGTGTGTATGTTAACATTGTCATTACAGATTTCATGAAAATAACACCACATCTTATTAATTTGTGACAGTATCAGCAGTGTCTGCACATGTCTGGTACCAAACAGCCTTTGAAGAAATCAATCACATAACCAGCCTTGTCCTTACTTGTACTGCCAGGGATGAGATGCTGGGCATAAGGCTTGGTTAGTGCTTGCCCTGTTTTGCTTTTTCTCTCCTTTTACTCATAGTCATGCAATTATGGTTGCAAATGAAATGAAAAGAGTTCTTTGGTTTCTTACACTTTTTTTTTTTTAAAGAGCTTAATAAGATTCTAATGGGGTGTTAATAAAGTGCAGTTTAAAGAAATCCTCTATGAGAAGTATAGTATAATTCTCAGAGAGCTAAGATGTGCACATTGCTTATCAATAAGCAATTCCAACTGAGTCATTAAGCCTCCAAATTTGTGCCAATTTTTCTAATAGAATATTTAAAAATAGCAGTTCAGGAAGATATCTCTTCAGCATAGAGAATCCCCAGGCTGTCTCACGCTTTTGAATGTCTTTCTCCCCATCCTGCTTTTATGGCACAGTAAAAAAGGTATCTTGCTGCTGAGATCACTTTCAGAATCAGCAGCATAATTTAAGCTACTTTGAGATTGCTTGAGTTCCACTGGGGACAAAAGCAGCATGAACCTATTTGAGACAGAGTAGTTATGGACACTTCCCTTTTGCAATAACTTTGCTTCTGCTCGTGGGGTAAAGGAATGAAACACTGTGTCTGCCAGCTTCATCGAGCCACAATCTTGTTTTAGTTCCATATTTCTACTGCAAAGGTAAATCTAATTCAGGGAACATGTGGAAGAAAAAATTAGAGCGGTCAGAAAAAGAGGTCATTGATAGTTTCCTTACTTCCTTTAGATTCAGCTCTGATCTGGATCCATTTTCTTAAATGCAATTAGATAACAATATAAAAATTACATGATTGGCATGATACAAGTATGAAATGTGCCTTCCCCTAATTAAAAGAGAAAAAAAGGGTTACTTTCATCTCTAGAAAATTAGGCATTTTAAACTGTCCAGAATATAATAGATTAGGAAGTATAGGAAAGAGTGATGCCTCTAATTGTACAACAATATTGCCCACTAATAAATCAAAGCCGTTCTCAAGAGCAGTTCATTATTAATGCCATTTGCTTACAGATGAAAATGAAAAATGGTTGAAAAATCAATTAGGACATTGATTTTTCACCATTAAAAAAATCTGGAAAGTAGGGATATTGAATGAGATCACCATTTAAAGAATCATTTGATTCTGCTTGTTTCTCAAGAGTTTCATAGCATAGCTTGAGCCCTCCTTCCCTAGCTCACTGAGTGATGGATTTTATTTCTTTTCTCTGTAGAGAGCCTTTATAGGTGAAACTCTTCAGTGTGTGCTATGTTGGGTTTTAAGCATGTGAATCTGTGATACTACAATGTGCCCCAAACTAAACATGTGTTTTCAGTACTTTGTTCATTTTTATCCTAAATATTTATCCCCTCTTGAGAACATATTTTAAGTATAGTTGCTGACCATTTGGTACAGGAAGTTGAGGTAATGTCTGAGTTCTCCCCCTGCCTCTCTTGCTCATGACAATTTTAGTTCTGCATTGAGAACGGTTTTCATGTAGAACTGTTGAATTCAAGGTAGTCTATTAGCTGTGACAAGCCCCAAAAAGTTTTGTGCGGTATGATAGAGAAGGATATTAACCAGATACCAAATGGAAAAAATGAGCCATATTGGATTAGTTTACTAGAAGGCAGAGTTAGACATGTAGACCTCAGATATCCTGCACCTCTTAAGTTTCTGAATCCTTTTCCTAGCAATGTAGATGTCAGGAGGGAGAGATCTGATGGCTAAATCAGAAGAGGAAAGGGGATCTTATATTCACAAAAAAAAAGTGTTTGTGTTTGTCTCCACTGAGGTCACACTGTTGGCCCAGTCAAGTGCTTTCATTTTGCAAACTAGACAAGCAACTTTAGACATGAGACCTGCATCCTTGCTCAGATCCATGCTTCTGTAGCTCTATAAACAGATAGCATAGAAATACTCAAACTAATACCCAAACATGTAGATCCTGCCTTATTAAGCTCTTTGACCATATATTTTTATTAGAACTGAAAAACATCTACCTATTCCTATACTCTGATAGGCATGTCAATGGGCATGTTGGATATCTCTGCAGACTCTTCTCAGTTCTAATTATTAAGTTCTTTATTAAGTTCCTTATTAAGTTCTAATTTTTATTAGAACTGAAAAAAATCTACCTATTCCTATACTCTCTGATAGGCATGTCAATGGGCATGTTGGATATCTCTGCAGACTCTTCTCA